TCTCAAACTAATTTTCAAAACCTATCTGTGTATGTGCATTGAAAATACAGCTAAATGATGAGGCCAAATTTCATGGTGACTACTCCCAAGAGGTGAGGCTTAGGGCGTGTGCACATGTGTGTAGGTGTGTGTGTATGTTTGCTTTCTTCTTTGCACAGTTGTATATTGTTACAAATTTTGTAACAAGGCTCTATCATCTGACAGAAAGGTAAATCTATTTTTTTAGAAAACTCAAAACTTGAAATCTATTCAAATTTTGAATGAAATCTATTCATTCAGCAACTTCCTAACAATTTATGAAAGTGGAAAACCCAGAGAAGAGTCTAGAAATGCGCACACACAAAGTAAACAGTAGGCACTGGGGAACAAAGGGGTCATGGGGAAACTTCTTGGGATCATATAAAATAAAGGTAGAAAAACTAAAATGGGGCATCTGGGTGGTTCAGTTGGTTAAGCGTCTGACTCTTGGTTTTGGCTCAGGTCACGATCTCATGGTTTGTGAGATCAAGCCCCACATTGGGCTCTGCACTGACAGCGTGGAACCTACTTGGGCTTCTCTCCCTCTCTCTCTCTCTCTCTCTCTCTCTCTCTCTCTCTCTCTCTCCCCCCCCCCCCCCCCCCTCCCCCACTCTCTCCCTCTTTCTCTCAAAATAAATAAACTTTTTTAAAAATTTTAAAAAAGAAATGCTAAAAGGACAGATAATGAGAAAGAAAGAAGAAAATGTCCAAAGAAAGGGAATGAAAGAAGCAAACGCAGCAGTTAAGGAAAAACAAAACAAAGCCAAACAAACAAAAGCTTATCTGTATTCACCAATTCCGGTGTTTATTCCAACACAGACAGAGCTTGCACCCATCACTCCCGCCCTCACGCCAAGAAAAAATCTCAATAACATGAAAACCAACAACTTGTCTTCGCCTTCGTGCAGCCAGAGGACTGGGGCCAAGGGGCAGCGCAGCTTACCTGGGGGTGTGTGGCTGCAGCTGGCGGGCATGCTACACGGTAACTGATAACCCCTGGGCACTGGGCCTGGACGAGCTTTGCGGCTGAAAACCACAATGGGTGCCATCTGACAAGGCCCCCATGCTTTCATGAGTTTTACCTGCAGGGGCCTGGGCGGGTTCTCACAGGTAATACTGCCCCCAAATCCCCCAGTGTCAGTAGCAGTGGGAGTGGAAGTAGGTATTCTCGAATACAGCCAGTGTTCTCCTCTCTTCTCTTTGCTGCAGGGACCCGTGCTCAGAGGAAGCATTCTCATTGGAGCCTGTGTGACCTAGGGAAGGACAACTGGATAGATTGAGCCTCTGCTGGTTTTCCTGTCTCGTGTAAGGGGAGAAGGATAGGGCTGAGAGATTCTTGTAAAGGTCACAGCCCAAGGACATTGGTCCATTAAAGAAATGAAGATCCAGGGGCTCCTGGGTGGCTCAGTCGGTTGAGCGTCCGACTTTAGCTCAGGTCATAATCTCACCATTCGTGAGTTCGAGCCCCATGTTGTGCTCTGTGCTGACAGCTCAGAGCCTGGAGCCTGCTTCCCATTCTATGTCTCCCTCTCTCTCTGCCCTTCCCCCTCTCACGCATTATCTCTGTCTCTCTCTCTCTCAAAAAAAAAAAAACATTAAAAATATTTTTTTAATTTAAAAAATTAAAAAAAAAAAGAAATGAAGATCCAATCATAAAATTATAGAATGCCTCTCCTCCCCAATACCTTGCCCCCATCAACAGAGCTCCAGTATAATCAGAGTGGGTCACAATTCAGTGCGCTGGCAATAGAGGCAAGGCATCTATTTAAGAAGGAGCCTCAAGGGAAACCCAAGGACAATAGAGGTGCACCCAGTAAGAACACTGGAGTAAATCTAAGCTTCGACACCAACAGGTGCAGCCAAGATTAAACACAGCATACAACTGCTTCTCAGATAAAAAAAAATACAGCTCCCATTAAAAGCCTATTTGCCTCAGTTCCTATTACCCAACACATATGTCTGGCTTTCAACAATAAAGAAAGAAATGCAAAAAAAAAAAAAACAAAAAAAAAACACCAAAAAACAAAACAAACAAACAAAAAAAACAAGAATACTTTCTGAAGAGACAAAGCAACCATCAGAACCAGACTTGAAAATGGCAGAGCTTTCTAGAATTATCAAATGAAGGGTTTTTTTTGTTTTTGTTTTTGTTTTTAATGTTTTTTATTTATTTCAAGGAGAGAGAGAAAGACAGCGTGAGCAGGGGAGGGTCAGAGAGAGAGGGAGTGACAGACTCTGAAACAGGTTCCAGGACAGGCTCTGAAACAGAGCCCGACACGGGGCTCGAACCCACGAACCGCGAGATCATGACCTAAGCGAAAGTCGGACGCTTAACCGACTAAGCCACCCAGGCGCCCCCAAATGAAGGTTTTTTTCAACTATGATTAAGATGCAAAGGGCTTCAATAGATAAACTACATTCAAGAACAGGTGAGCAGTGTAAGCAAAGAGATGGAAACTCTACAACAGATTCACAGGGAAGCTCTGGAAGGCAACAACACTGTGGTGTAAATGAAGAATGCCTTGATGACCAAGAAAATTAGTGATCCTGAAGACATATCAATAGAAGCTTCCCAAACTGAAGTTCAAAGAGAAAAAGTAATGAAATAAAATGGAAGAGAATATCCAAGAACCGTGAGACAGACACAAAAGATTCAACATACTTGTGATAAGAATATCAGGAGAAGGAAAGAGAGGCACCTAAGAAACACTTGGAGTAATAATGGTTGCGAATTCTCCAAAATTAATGACAGACATGAAAGCACAGATCCAGGAGGCTCAGAGACCATCAAGCAAGATAAATACCAAAAAATATACGATGGGGCATATCATATACAAACTGTAGAAAACAAAGAAAAAGAGAACATCTTGAAAGAAACCAGAGAAAATCACCTTACCTACAGAAAAATAAGAATGACACCAGACTGCTCTTCAGAAATCATGCAAGCAAGAAGAAAGTGGGGTCAATATTTAAAGTGTTGAAAGAAAAAAAATCCACTAACCTAGAATTCTGTATCTGGTGAAATTTTGCTTCAAAAGTGAAGGAGACATTATCAATGAACAATCTGAAAAGGAAATTAAGAAAATAATTCCATTTACAATAACATCAAAAAGAATTAAATATTTAGGAATAAATGTAAGCAAGGAGATCCAAGACTTGTATACTGAAAACTAGAAAACGTTGCTGAAGAAAATTTTAAAAAGACCCAAATAAATGGAAAGATATCTTGTGTTCAAGGATTGGAAGGCTTAGTACTATTAAGATGATAGTACTATAGTGAGCAATACACAGACTCACTGTGATCAATTCCCTATCAAAATCCCAATAACATTTTGCAGAAATGGAAAAATACATTACAGAATGCATATGGAATTTCAAGGGGTCCAGAATACCTAAAACAATTTTGAAAAAGAAGAGCAAAGTTGGAGATCTCACACTTTCCAATCTCAAAACTTACTACAAAGCTACAGTGATCAAAACAGTATGGTACTAGTGTAAGGACAGACACACAGATCAATGGATAGAATTGACAGCTCAGAAATAAACTTTTACATCTATGTTTAACTGAATTTTGACAGAAGTACCAAGACCATTCAATAGGGAAAAGAGCAGTCTGCAAGAAAAAAAAAAAAAAAAAAAGGTGCTTAGAAAAACAGATTTCCACAAGTGAATGAAGTTGGACCTTTGCCTTAAAAAATTAACTTCAAATGGATCAAAGACCTAACTGTAAGAGCTAAAATTCTAGGACTTGCAGAAAAAGACATAGGGAAAAATCTTCACAACACTGGATTTGTCAGTGATTTCTCATATATGACACCAATAACATAGGCAACAAAAGGAAATAGATAAATTGGACTTCATCAAACTTAAAAACTTTTGTGGATCCAAGATGACTATGAAGAGAGTGAAAAATCATCCCATAGAATGAGAGAAAATATTTGCAAATCACATACATGATAAAGGTTTTACATCCATAATATCCAAAGAACTCCTAAAAGTCAACACCAAAAAGACAAATAAGCCAATTAAAAAATGAGCAAAGGACTTGAGTAGACCTTTCTCCAAAAAAGATATACAAATGGCCAAAACGCACACTGATAGATGCTCAACATCATTAGTCATTAGGGAAATGCAAATCAAATCCACAATGAGATATACTTCACAACAAGTAGGATGACCATAATGGGGGGGGGGGGGGGATGGGAAACACCAGTATTGGAGAGGATGTAAAGAAACCAGAACCCTTGTACATTGCTGGGAACATAAAATGGTGCAACCACTGTAGAAAAAGAGTTTGGCAGTTCACATAGAACTCCCATATGACCCAGCAATGTCACTTCTAGGTTTATACACAAATACATGTACACACATGTTCACAGTAGTGCTACCGACACTAGTCAAAAAGTGGGAAACCACCCAATGTCTATCGGCAGATGAATGTATAACCAAACTGTGGTATATACACACAGCAGAATATTACTCAGCTGTAAAAAAGATTGAGGTACTGAGTCACACTACAATGGATGGACCTTGAAACATGCTAAGTGAAAGAAACTGTTGTTCAATATAATAAAGAGGAACCATATACTGAGTGATTAAAGCTTATGGATAAATGAAGTAAATGACAGCAATGTTATATGGGATGAGACACAGAGATTGGGGATATTCTTCCAAGACACCTGCACTGCCCATGAAGCAGTACTGTGGAATTTGAAATTGGATTAGGTTAGTTGTATATGTATATGGTAAACACTCAGGCAACCACTTAAATATATTTTAAAAGAAATATAATTGGGGTGCCTGGCTGGCTCAGTTGGTAGAGCATGTGACTCTTGAACTCAGAATTGATGAGTCTGAACCCCACATAAGGTATAGAGATCACTTAGAAATCTTTAAAAATAAAAATAAAGTACGTGTAATTGATATACTAAGAAAGAAGTGAAAATGAAAGCATATAAAATGCTCAATTAAAATCACAGAAGGCAGAACAAGAGAAGAAGTTTTCATTTTATTTGTTTGTTTTTTAAGGAACAAAGGGTGAACACACTGTAGAATCCGTCTGTCAACAACGTGCTGTTGTGTTGAATCCATAGATCAAGTCAGGAAAAACCAACATCTTATGCACAGTGAGTCTTCCTCTTCAGGGAAATGGAATATCTCTTCTTTATTTACTTAGATCTTTAATTTCTTCCATCGGCTTTGTAGTTTTACCTCAGACAGGTCTCGTTCATATTTTAGTAGATTTATACCTAAGCATTTCATGTTTTGGTGCTAATATAAATGGTATTCTGTTTTTCATTTCAAATCCCACTTGTTCATTGCTGAGCTCTAAGAAAGTAGTTGGCTTTCCTATCCTGGAACTTGTTGTTTATGAGTTTCAAGATTTTGTTGCCAATTCTTCAAGACTGTATATATAGACGATCATGTCACCTGTAAACAGAGAGAGTTTCATTTCTTCATTCCTGATCTGTATGCTTTTATTTCCTTTTCTTGTCATATTACATTAGCCAGGACTTTCAGTATGAGGTTGAATAATGGTGAGAAAGAACACTCTTGCCTTGCCACAGGAGTAAAGCATCTAGGGTTTTACCATTAAGCGTGATGTTAGCTGTAGGGGTTTTGCCATCTTCTTTATCAAGTTGAAGGAGCTCCCCTCCATTTCTTGGGCACGGAGAGTTCTTACCGAGAATGACTATGGGATTTTCTCAAGTGTTTTTTCTCCACCTATCGATATGGTCATGTGAATTCTCTTCTTTAACCTGTGGATGTGATGGGTTAGATTAATTGGTTTTTGAATGTTGAACAAGTCTTGTATATCTGAGATAAGTCCCCCTTGGTCATGGCACATAATTCTTTTTATACGTTGTTGAATTCTATTTATAATATGTTATTAAGGAATCTGGATCTGTGTTCATGAGGATATTGGCTTGCAATCTTCTTTTCTTACATCTTTATCTGGTCTTGGTATTGGGGGCAGCGCTAACCTTATGGGATGGGAACTCTCTGTACGATCTGCTCAATTTATCAGTAAATGTTATCAGATAAAAACTATTAATTGAAAAAAAACACCTTACCTTGATTTAATCGGAAGCAGCCTCCTCTGTATTAAACATAACAGAGCATAAACTGATGCCATATTTAGAGAAACTGTACCTTAGCTGTGGTGGCTGGAAACCGGCACACGCTGACGTCCCAGGGTACTGCGGGGACTGTACTAGTAAGCTGGCATCGCCGATGTTTCTGCACACTTCCAAAACCTTCAGTCAGGGCAGACAAATCACAAACGTCTGACACAGGGTCACATCACCCAATCAAACTCCTTTAATACGATGACTATGTACTAACTGCCTTTGACAAAATGTTTTCAATGTCTGCACATTGTGATCACAGCATTTTTAGCATGAATATCTTTATCACGTCCGTTCTTAGATCGTAACAGGACACCATTCTTTACCAAAGTGATAAATTGCTTCTAAATATCCTGGATTCCACAGCAAAGAATGGATATGCTCCATCTCCTATTCAGAAAACAAGTTTTTAACAGAGCTCTTTTGCTATGCCCATGACTCTACAGGCAAGGAACTGAAATAAGCTGTTTCCTCCCCATTTCTGCAGCACACGGGATGTTTTCATCAGCGATCCTTTAGCACTACTGTAATGCGAACAGGAATGATGTAATCATTGTGCCTCTGGTCACAGAGATAAAAATATATGTATGCATTTTGCCAGAGGAGTTACAACAACTTGCCCTGAGCTCTTTTCCATTTCTTTATTAAATAGAAAACAAAAGTCTAGAATAGTCCCTAGGAATGAGAACTCTTTAGGTACCTACCAGTACACAGTGCTGCTGTGGGACACGGAGGGACAGCAGATTTCCCAACAATTGCTGAACCTCCTGGGTCACAAAATACAGGAAAGGATTTTGAGTTATTTGAAAAAGGGAAATAGTCGGGTGGAAACAAGTTTAAAACCAGAAATCAGTAATAAATGTAGCAGCATTAGGAGAAAGTTAAAGGCAATACTAATGATTAGGAGAAACAAATGGAAGGAAACGTGTTTTCAGTGGCGATTTCAACACTGAAAGCTATCTTAAGGAAGAAAAAGGACCGTATGCCCTTGGCTTCTGCTCCTTACGGATATTTTCAGTGCCAAGGGCTGCGTGAGCACAGGCGGGAAGAGAACAGGCACCGGGTAGGATAAGAGCATTTTGTAGAATACAGAGGAGAAGCCGGAGAGCACGGAGATACTAACTAGGAGAGAAGGAGGGTGTTGAGGCAGCCGAACCGTCCGGCCCAAGCAGGGGCTGACGGAGACCACGCGGACGGGCAAACTCAAACCCCGTGGGCAGGACGTAGTCAAGATCCTCACGTTCCCAACATCACCATCCAGGACGTGTCTCTGGGGTAATCGTGGGAAAACCTCACCCCCCACCAGCCGACCAACCCCAGCTGCCACTCTAGAGCGTCGACACTTTCTCCGCATTGCTTCCTCTACGGCCAAGATGCAGGATCGGAGTCCCCTCCATATACGTGTTTCCCACATAACTAGCCCCCCATCCCTGGACACCCCCCCCAAGATGTGCAGGCATCATCACCCTTCTTTGTTTATATGTTTATGCACACACCCCTTTCACATGGTGCCACGCACGGCAGCTTGGTTCTAGGCAGAGGACAGATGCATTCATTCCAGACACGTCCAGTCCTTCTCTGGGGGACGAAGCAGAGCAACCAAACACACTGACCATCTAATACACACCCCTAACTGTCCCTCATCTTCTGCAGACCTATCTCTTCACACCACTCCCGGAACACTCACAAGTCATGCTTGTGAAACTCTAGAATAAATCAGCCATGTGCGTGCTTTCGCAATGGGCACCGAACAGTGGCGCCGAGCAGTGCTCAGCCAGGCTTCTAGAAGATGCGAGCATGCTCTCTGCCTATGTGCAGCATCTCAGGCCCATCTTTAAACAAATAAAATTAAAAAAAAAAACAAAAAAACTAAAGCCATAACATTAAAATATAAATCACTAAGAGCACCTTTTGGGAGTGAGACAGGTTGTTTATGAGGGTTATTTAACCCTGTCCGAGAATGTTGGCCACTGACGCAATAGCTTGGTTCCAAACACAGAACTCACCACCCGGAGGAGGGGTAAGGACTGTACACCCCACAGCATCTTCTTCAAACATCTGCCAGGTCGGCTATGATTTGGTCAGGAATTACAAAGTAATCATTACAAGGTTAAATTTCCAAACAAAAGCCTGCAGAAAAATATTGTGTGGCTAACAAGAAGATCCATTTCTTTCAGGTGGAAAACATGCAGGTAGTAAGACTGTTGTGAGATTTTAAACTCTTGGATGGAGGGGAAATTTTTTTAATGGGGATTTTTCTTAGAACTTTATGGAGTTCAAGACAGATTCCTGACAATGACTTGAAGAGTGGCAGTCACTGCCCAAAGCAGCTCATATACAGAAGACATCTTTGAATCTAACCACGGGCGGAAGGTGGTTAACAGTATTCCGACTTATTCAAATTGTTCCTGTTACAAGTAACAGAAAACCAGACCCAATCCGGCTGGAGCATAAAGGAAACCTATTCACTCAGGTAAGGAAAACACGGAGTGGGGCTGGCATCAGGGCGTAAACTGTCGCCAGCGCCTGGAGTCTGTCCAGATCTCTGCGGTTTCCAGTGAGATCCTTCTCTAAGGTCCATGGAATGGCCCGCAGCGGCAGCTCTCACCTGACTGATGACAGGTCTTCTCTTGTTTCTATGTCAGGAGGAAGAATTAAAAGAATTTTCCAGCAGCTCCTTCCGAAATACTAAGTCCACCTAACTGGCCTAAGTCACGTGCCTGTCCCAGCGACGTCACTGTGGCCAGGACACCAACTTTCTGACCAGCTCAGGCTGGTCACAGGGTCCGTCCCAGACCGAAGAATCCCCAGGGCTGGTGGAGAAGGACTAGCAGATGCCGGGGAGGGAAGAAACAAAGGTCCCCTTGATGTATAACAGACCCACCGTTTGGGAAAACGGAGTAACTTGTCAAATTCAGACACCTAAAAACTAAGTTTAGACTTGGACTCGGGTCTGCCTATCTAAACCCAAAGCTTTCCCACTCTGTCCTTCACAGTGTTCTAACACTCATTTACAGAACGGAAAACTCTCAGGACTGCAAACAGGCCCCTACCTGTCTTCTAGACCCATCACCAGTGAAACGTAACTCAAGGTTACAATATCCGTTGGAAAAGCTTAAACTACTATGCGAAAGATTAACAACTTAAAATTAACTTAGGTATACATCTAATTTGGCTTATCAAAAAATTTTAGCTTGTTTTTAGTACTTTTTAAAACCTCCAAACAGGAGTGGCCAGTTTAGAAAATTTAATTACACTAAGATAATCTGAAGTGGAGCTTCAAATTATCTTGTTTCATTATATTCCAAAGTCACATCAAATATCTTAACCTTTAGGTCTTTCATGATCAATTTCTAATCAACTTGTTAACTTCTTTAGACCAACCTACTTTGAATTTAAAAAAGGGGGGGGGGGCACCTGGGTGGCTCAGTTGTTCAGCCTGGTGGGACCCGGTTTCGGCTGGGGTCATGATCTCAGGGTTTGTGAGTTCAAGCCTTGCCTGGCCCAGCTCTGCGCGGACCTCGGTGGAGCCTGCGTGGGATTGTCTCTGCCCCTCCCCCACCCGGGCACACTCTCAAATGCGTTTTGCATGTTTTCTCTGTACTTTCAACTGAACTTTAATTCAATAAAAGTACAAACATAAGTTGAAATAACAAGTCACGGCCACTAAAACAAACAAACAAAAAAAGACAAACTCGTACTGATTTGTGCTTCTGGCCGTGATGGTGGTGAAGGGACCAGATTGAAGGTCTCACCTCCAAAAGTAAAAGATCAGACACAATGTAAGAAACACCTGCTTTGGGGCACTTGACTGTCATCGGTAAGAAAAGGGAAACAAAGGGAGCGGAGGTTTCCAGGCCGCAACCCAAAAGGGGGCCACAGATGCCTCCACAGGAGGTCGCCCCCTCCGGAGCGCGGGAAGGGCTGGCCCCCTGGGCACCGACCCCGACCCTGGGCCCCTGAAAGCCCCCTGGGCACCGACCCCGACCCTGGGCCCCTGCTGGGCCCCTGGGCACCGACCCCGACCCTGGGCCCCGCGGAAGCGCCAGACCCTCTGCCCCGCCGCGAGGCAACCAGGCGCCCTACACGAGGCGCTGGAAGTCACTTCGCGGAGCGTGACCGGCCTGCACCCCGCGTACACCGTTCACGTCGGGGATCCGGTCGAACAAGGCCAGACGCCCCCCCGGCCGCTGGCGGAGGGAGAGCGCGGCCCACCGGGGGCGGCGCTCAGCCAAGCCCACGGCGCAGCCACGGGCACAGCCCGCAGCACGTCGGGAGAGGCCGCCCGGCGCCCGCGGGCCCTCAGAGGGCGGGGCCCGGCCCGGGGGGGGGGGGCCGGGCGGGGGGACGGCGCCGCCCGGAAGCAGCGGAGACGCAGTCGGGGCGGCGGCGCGCAGGTGCGGGCCGGCAGGTGCTCGCGCGCGAGGGTGGGCGCACGGGACGGTCCTCCGCGCAACGAAGGCCGAACCGTCGATCGTGCAGAAAACCGCGGCGCAAGCAGCTCGGGAACGCGGCGCGGGGCTCGGGAGGGACACCACCCAGGGCTCGGACGGGCGCACCGCTCGAGAAGCGCGCCAGCCGGGCCTCCGACCACCGGCGCGGGGCCGGCCCGGCGAGCATGCGCGGTGTGGCCGTGCGCGGGGCGGGGCCGGCGAGCACGCGCGGTGTGGGAGCGCCGCGCCGGCGACCGAGACGTCTGTGCCGTGCGCGCGGCCGAGCCCGCGAGCATGCGTGCTGCGGCCGTGCGCGGGGCCGGCTCGGCGAGCACGCGCGGCGTGGCTGCGCCGCCGCCGGCGCCGCGAACTCGGAGCTGTGCGCGGGGCGGGGCGGGGCCGTTGAGCATGCGCGCCGGGGCGGGGCGCCCGCGGCCGCGGTTGCTGGGCAACGGCGAGCGGCGCGGAGGTCGGTGCGCGAGGCGGGTGCGCCGGGGCGGGGCGGAGCGCGGCCGCGGGGACCCTGTCGGGCAGCGCAGGTCGTCGGGCCCCCGACCGTCGTCGGGAGGGCCTAACCTCGGGCCGCTGGGTGAGAGCGGTGACACTGCCCTCACGAGCGGGGCCGCGCCCACAGGTAGGGGACTGGTGACCGCACCGGCACCCGGTAGCCTGCGCGCTGCTGCCCCCTCGGAGTCGGGTCCCCCCGCCGCACGAACAGGGGGTCCGCCGCCTACCAACGCCGAGCCCGCGTGTCCAGCTGTCTTTTCTCGTGTGCGCGTGTTCTGTGTCGGTAATGTGCCTGTCGATTGGCTTGTAGACCGTCAGTTGTTGTGACCAAGCCCTAACACTTTTAACTAGTTGTTAACGGTGGAATTTACTGAGAAAGAATATTCCTATTAATTCTGGCTCTTAAAGCTGGGCGAGGATCAAGTTTCTAACCCATTGTAGTCCTACTGCTACAGACTAATTAATTTGTAATCTTGAAGGAGTCCCTAATCTCTGGATTTGTTTTCTCCTTTATAAAATGGACTGGGACTAAATACCGGATGCGTTCCCACCTCGGAAATTCGGCGGAGAAGCTTCACACTTTTCCAAAGCTCTTACCTTGACACGAATCTTAGTGTCTCGCGGTGCAGACACTTGAGATAAAACTGTAGACTGTGGAGAGCTAGCTGTGATCATTAAAGAGTTTTCAGTATGATGTAAATTATACTCTGCCAGGGTACAGGCGTGGTGAAGGAAGAAGATTCTGGAAGGGAGCTACAGCATTTCCGATACCTTCTACTGTCTCCGCAGCTCACACTGTCCGGAGGAAAGTGCTGGATTGAAACTTCTTGTGTGGGGGCGCCTGGGGGGCTCAGCTGGGTTAAACTTCCCACTTCGGTTCAGATCAGGATCTCATGGTTCCTGACTTTGAGCCCAACGTCAGGCTCCCTGCTCACAGCTCAGAGCCTCTCTTCCTTTCTGCCCCTCCCCTCCCTCAAAAATAAACATTTGAAAAATTAAAAAAAAAAGAAGAAGAAACTTCCTGCCTGCCTATCTTGAGGCCAGGTTGGAAAGCGAGCACAGAGACTGTCTTCTAGTTTCAGAAGCGTCTCAGCCCCCGCTAGGCCTGGGAGAGTCAGGGCTCGGTCTCTCCTGTCCTCACTTCCCACCTACAGTAACTTTATTCGTCTGGACTAAGTTAATGCAGGTGTTGATCCTTAGATATGTATTTTGGATTTCTTCCTTTCTAGTCTTAAAATTAGGCCCCATTTCCTAAATTACTTTAATAACTTACTGTTCCTCTCCATTCCTGTGGATATTGGACCCTTCGGAAACTGTACCCTTGCCTTAAAACTAAAAGGGCCAATTCTTCCACCAGTTTCAACGGGAATTGGAGCAAGAATAACCATTTACAGAGTATCCTCTGCATGAAAGGGCCCTGTAGATAGTTTGCAAAGGTGGGTTCATCTAATCCTAAACACAGCCCTGCAAGAGGTGCGTTATGAGGCCTGTGTTAAGATAAAGAAACAAACTCAGAGGTAGTGAGTATCTTGCCCAGCAAACAGCAAGCCGGACCCCGGTTTGTTCCCTGTAGTCGGTATCTGTGCTCTGGACACAGTGAAGCCACGGGACTCCCCTTGCCTTCCAGGCTATTCGCGGTTCCCTTTCTGCCCTAATCAATAAACACAGGCCGAGTGCCCCAGTGCCTTTGCTTCCCCTGATCCCCCCTGATCCCGGGGAGTTAAGTGTGCTCATTTCCCTCTTATCTGTCCTTCAAAGCCCAGTTTAAATGTTCTCTCTTAAAGAGAGATTTCACTTACTCTATTCTCTGGTCTTATCAGTCTGCAATTGTGTTGTATTTGCCTATAATAGTATATTGAGTAATGACTGTTCTCATTTATACTCGTATGCTCCCTCCCACTAGCTGGAGAGTTGAGGACAGGGCTGGGAGGGTGGGGGGGTCATCACCTCCGGGAGTCCCTCCAGAATCACTGTGCGCGGCTCAGCGCTGCCCTCTGGTAGACTCTCGCATGTCAGACTCCCAAACGTATCTTCCCTATAAGCTTCACAAGAGATGTTAACTCTGACTTTCTGTTGCTTATGTCCCTACAGCGGAAGAATTGAAGGGCTGGGATCCGGTGACCGGCCCTGCCGGGGCCAGGCGGCAGCTCCCCGACTCAGCATGCCGAAACACAAGGTGCACGGTCCTGCTTGAAAACAAGCTCTGTTTTACTCCCAAATATATTTTAATTCGGCCTTCGAAAGTATAAAAGCATAGTTGCAAACCTCGCCCCAATGACGTACTGTCCCCTTAGTCCCCTGGGCAACCGTCTCATAGCCGTGCATTTCCGTCTGTGTAAGTTTTCACCAAAAAAGCACGCCCTTAAATGCAACATTCTCTTTCGCATCACAGTAGCAAGAGTTGCCTTGAGTCTAATTTTACTGCCCTGAAACAGAATGTGTTCCGGCACTTACGGCTTTTATAGGTCATACGAATTCATTCAAATGTAACACCTCAGTAGTTAAATGATAAGATATTGCCACGTCACCAACATAAATGAGGACACCAGGCTTCCCTGCACCTAGGTGATAAGGGTCAAACACTCTTTACTATTAGATTTGGTCTAGGGTGCTGCCAGGGCTGAGCACTAAGCCGGAGCTTTCTTCCAAATGATGTCGGACATAATGTTCTGCATGTAAGGCTTTCTTCCTGTTTTTTAGGGTCACTCATCGAAACAAGATAACTTAGCGGTCACTGCAGTTGCTTTACAAGATCACATTTTGCATGACCTTCAACTTCGAGATCTTTCAATAGCAGGTCATTCTAAGACAAAGGTACAACAGAGAGACACCAGATCCAAATCTCTAAAAACAAATACAAAAGCAGTAATAGATACCGGACTCAAAACAGCAGCACAAGGCCCGAAAGTGGAAGATCTGGAAAAAGAATATGTTCTTGATCCCAAACCACCACCATTAACTTTAGGTAAGTTGATCCCATCCTTTGTATTTTGGCTTAGTAGAGCTAATGAATCTAGTTGAGATGAATAGTGTAATTTCTTTTCTGGAACGGGGTGTATTCTCATTTATAATCTTATAGAAAGATATGTATGTAGTAAGGTTTAAAAATGATGGGGAGGGGCGCCTGGGTGGCTTAGTCGGTTAAGCGTCCGACTTTCGCTTAGGTCATGATCTCGCGGTTCGTGGGTTCGAGCCCCACGTCGGGCTCTGTGCTGACTGCCAGCTTGGAGCCTGGAGCCTGTTTCAGTCTGTGACTCCCTCTCTCTCTGACCCTCCCCTGTTCACGCTGTCTCTCTCTCTCTCTCCTAGAAATAAATAAAACATTAAAAAAAAAATAGGTTTAAAAATGATGGGGACATGTATGGCCAACTAATCTTTGACAAAGCGGGAGTGTCCACTGGAAAAAGGCAGCCTCTTTAACAGATGGTGCTGGGAGAACTGGACAGCAACGTGCAGAAGAATGAAACTAGATCATTTTCTCACACCATGCACAAAAATAAACTCAAAATGGATAAAGGACCTGAATGTGAGACAGGAAACCATCAAAACCATAGAGGAGAAAGCAGGAAACACCCTCCTTGACCTCAGCCACAGCAGTTTCTAACTTGACACATCCCCAAAGGCAAGGGAATGAAAAATGAACTATTGGGACCTCAAGATAGAAATCTTCTGCATGGCAAGGGAAACAATCCATAAAACTAATAGGCACCTGACAGAATGAGAAAAGATAGTTGCAAATGACATATCAGATAAAGGGCTAGTATCCAAAATCTATAAGGAACTCACCAAACTCCACACCCGAAAAATAACCCAGTGAAGAAATGGGCAGAAGACATGAACAGACACTTCTCCAAAGAGGACATCCAGATGGCCAACAGGCACATGAAACGATGCCCAGCATCCCTCCTCATCAGGGAAATACAAATCAAAACCACACTGAGATACCACCTCATGCCAGAGTGGCTAAAATGAGCAAATCAGAGAACTCTAGATGCTGGCGAGGATGTGGAGAAACGGGCACCCTCCTGCACTGCTGGTGGGAATGTAAACTGGTGCAGCCCCCTGGAAAACAGTGTGGAGGTTCCTCAGAAGTTAACACTAGAACTCCCCTATGACCCAGCAATACCACTGCTAGGAATTTACCCAAGGGATACAGGAGTGCTGAGGCATAGGAGCACGTGTACCCCAATGTTCATAGCAGCACTCGCAACAATAGCCAAAACATGGAAAGAGCCTAAGTGTCCATCAACGGACGAATGGATCAAGAAGATGTGGTTCATCTATACGACGGAATACTACATGGCAATGAGAAAGAATGAAATCTGGCCACGTGTAGCAACGTGGATGGACCTTGAGGGTGTTATGCTGAGTGAAATAAGTCAGGCAGAGAAGGACACATACCATATGTTTTCATTTATAAATGGATCAGGAGAAACTTAACAGAGGACCGTGGGGGAGGAGAAGAGAAAAAACAGTTGGGGAGAGGGAGGGAGGCAAACCATGAGAGACTCTTGAATACTGAGAACAAACTGAAGGCTGATGAGGGTGGGGGAGAGGGGAAGGGGAGTGATGGGCATGGAGGAGGGCACTTGTGGGGATGAGCACTGGGTGTTATATGGGAACCAAATTGACAAACTATGAAAGAAAAAATATTATAATAGTATCTAAAAATAAATGAAAGTGATGGGGACAATCAGCAAGAAAATTCAAGACGAGGAAATAAAAATAGTAGACTACGGTAACTATCCACTGGTCCACACTGGCAGAACTCAGTCACTCAGCAGTGGAAAAGAAAAAGGCCTTCCATACAGGAGAACGAGAACTAATAAATCCACAGACAGGGGCCAGAGCTGGAAAATCACCGTCTGGCCGGCAGCACAGTAAGGACCCGCATCGGCAGGTGCTGAGGCTGGAGGGAGACCGTGTTGAGATGCGGGATGTGCACACAGCCTCCCGGTGTGTCCCCTCACCGCAGAGAGGGGGACACTGGAGCCTCGTGTTGGTGACACTGCGCCAGAGGCACCCTGACCAAGTGATCAAAGTGCCCTCCCCGGAGGGATCCGCGCCCACAGCACACGCCCCGACCCCTTGCTCTGAGAAAGTCCCCATCTGAATGTCATCATGAGGAAGCATCGGCCACGCCCAAACTGACGGACATTCTACGGTTTCTGGCCAGTATTCAAGAGTGTCAAGGGAGGCAAATCAAGACAGAGAAATTGTCCCAGATGACAGGGGACTTGGGGGATAAGACGGCGGACTGCAGTGTGTAACCTGGGACGTCAGTGAGAAGAACGAGGTCCAGAAGGTCCAGATTAACTGGCCCTGCGAGGTCAACACTGATTTCCTCATTCTGGTCATCGAACTGGGGCTATGTAAAATATTAACATTTGGGACAACTGGGTAAAAGATGCATGAGGATTCCCTATACTGGTTTTACAACATTTTGCAAGTCTCAAATCAGTTGAGGCTGTAAATTTAGAAATAGAAACGATTTTTAAATGATGCTGGGCATGGAAAATAGGTTTGTCTGGGGGTGCGGCACCCTGGCGCGCGGGTGCTGGCTGGAGGTGCACGGCCGGGAGGGAGCCTGCTGCCCCGGCCACGCCCAGCGGCACCTCTCCCTCCCTCCCAACCGCAAACAGTGCTAGTCTTCTTCTAGAAGACAGCGCGGCTTAAGAACATGCGGAGGCTTGGGATGATGCTATACGGTAATTTAGCGACTGTCTTCTGGTGTGTGTATGTAATTTACGGACTTGGTCCAGTAGATGATCATCATAGTTTAGCAGGAAAGATTTAAATTAGACATCAGGAAGAACTTCACAACTTGGCAAATAAGGGAGATTAAAGAGGAGAGTAAATGGCATACTCTTTCAGGAGCGGTTTACATTCACAAAATGTTTACATTCACAAAAAAATGTTTTAACTGTTCTGCCTATTAATCACTAATAAGGTTGAATCATGTTTGTTTTAAGTTCACTTGGTTTGAGAGAGAGAGCACGTGCGTGATCAGGGGAAGGGGAGAGAGAATCCCAAGCAGGCCCCGTGTTGACCACATGGACCCCAGCTCGGGGCTCGAACGCACAAACCGTGAGATCGTGACCTGAGCTGAAATCAAGAGTCAGACACTCAACCGACAAGCCCCCCAGACGCCCCAATCATGTTTCATTACTGCCTTTCCATGGTGTTGCATGCAGGCCTCTGCTTGCTGATTTTGTGTTCTTTATGTACTCTGCATATTAATCCCTCATGATTTAGCCACTGAGATCCATCCTGGTCTGGACCCCTCTTTTAATTGTATGTGTTATTTTATATTGAATAAAATATGCCTTCTGATTACTGTTAAATCCGTCAGCTTTTCTCTTTATTGTTTATGCTTTGGGGGATTTAAGGAATCCTTGCCCATTCTGAGATGACAAAGATTTTCCACATTTTCATTACTTACCTTTAAAGTACCTCCTTTCACATTTAGACGTCGTCCTGGTGTATCTGCACGGGGTGCGGGGACGTCAGGTGGTAGAAGCCTTACGTTAGCGCACCGTCGTCTGTCGTGCTGAGCTGCGGCACCCCTCTTGTGCCTGTTCCACGACCCATGGTCACACAGGGGGTGAGAGGGGGTATGATTTGGGGGCTTCTGTCTCTGGGCCGGTATTTTACTGTTTTAATTAATAAGAGCTTTGTAATATGTCTTAATAACAGGTAGGAAAAGACGCAAAATTATCCCCCAGAAAAGTCCTTAGAAGCATATTCTTTCAGTACACTAAAGGGCAGCTTGTGGAGCCACTCCTTCTGGAACCTTCCCTCACCATGCTCCCACGTGGATCACTGCTGCTCAAGGCCCACAGGGGTGTCTACTCCATGTGCCCTGAGGACGGCCCCATCCTGCACTCACACCCCTGCCCCCTGACCACCACTGCTCCCCAGGGATGTGCGAGCGCCTCACCGCCCGTCCGCACAGCCCACGGGGAGCACCACACCACCCGTCCACAGAGCCCGCGGGGAGCACATCACCCTCCGTCCGCAGAGCCCGCGGGGAGCACCGCGCCTGCTCCCTCCCCTCAGAGTGCTGAGCGACCTGGGGGCGGGGGGTGGCGCCAGTGCTGGGCTGTCAGGCATCACTGGGGTGGTCAGTCCATCCTGACAGTAATTCTACTTGCTAAGAGGCTTTAGCAAGGGATAAACTTGATTGATACTCATTCTGTGAAGGTCACTGGTAGCAAAACATGCGCTAAATTGGAAGAAGGCTGAAAGATAAAATAGGTGACAAGTGAGAACTTTTGGCCAATACATGTGGAAACTTTGTATTCTTTGACTTTTCTTCCTGAAAATCAGAGAGCAGCACTACCTGCTGTGGAGAAATCTGTGAAAATGACACAGGTATAGGAAATTCTTCACAAATAAAAACATTCCTACCCTTGGCTTTCAGCACCCCCAGAAGGCCAGTACTCCTCACATGCTGGAAGGAAGTACGCCGTATGTTGTGCTTTCACCTCTGTTTGCAAAATAATGTCATTAAATCATACGTGAGTGCTATGTTCTAGATATATCGTACCTTCATTTTCTGTGTTTTCACTTTAGCTCAGAAGCTGGGCCTGTTTGAACCTCCCCCATTGCCACTGTCATCAGGTGAATGGGAAAAAGTGAAACAAAGATCCGTCATGCAAGGGGACTCTATGCAGCCATGCCCAATATGCAGAGAAGACTTTGAACTTCGCCCCCAGGTGTGTAGCAGGAAGATCAGATAAGTGGGCTTGGGGACTAGACCAAGCTGGAGCTTAAGAGCCCAGCCTTCATTTCTCCAGCTTCCTCCGCCTACGTGACCTCAAATACTTACATTCTCTTTTCCATTAATTAGAGTATGTGTGTGAGAGAGAGCTAAACACCCTCATTAAACAGTTTTCTTTATTTGCTGAATGCTATTCTCAAGTACAAAGTCTCCAGGAAGGGAATGCCCTGGTTCCCGCGGCCGGAAGTGAGCTGGGGAGTGAGCAGAGGCCCTGTAGGTAGGAGGCCAGTGCAGCAAGAATGAGAGCAAAGGGGAATTTTAAGTTGTTTTGTGAATTGAGCTCATAAAAAAAAAGGAGAAGATGGAAGAAAAACTTCAATCTCCAAAGAATTTGTATAAGAACCTTTAAGTAACATCTTTGAATATCTGTATTCATGAGCCCTCACCATAGTGAGGCTGGTGATCTTATAGGTGTGTCGCAGGGCTTTCTTTTTTTTTTTTTTTTAATTTTTTTTATTTATTTCTAGGAGAGAGAGAGACAGCGTGAGCAGGGGAGGGTCAGAGAGATAGGGAGTCACAGACTGAAACAGGCTCCAGGCTCTGAGCTGGCAGTCAGCACAGAGCCCAACGCGGGGCTCGAACCCACGAACCGTGAGATCATGACCCAAGCGAAAGTCGGACGCTTAACCGACTAAGCCACCCAGGCGCCCCTCGCAGGGCTTTCTATACACATGGAGCCCACCTAATCTACTGTGATCTCCTTGCGCTAAGAGACGCCTCCCCTGCTAGGATTCTGGGTTCTGTTCTAAGCCAGCGGCCCACCCTTCAGTGGTTTCCCACGTTGTGCTTCCTACAGAGCTGGTTTGCTGGGAAAATAGAGCAAACAGAGTCAAGCAAGCCTATGGTTCATGGCCTGGGAGCCTTGGGCTTTCCTCACTACCTGGCACATAACTCTCAAACTTAATTTGTCTTAATGAGTTTCATCGTTAACAAGTTAGTTCATGGTCATAAAACGTTTGTTCTTTACTAATTTGAATTCACAAGTTATTTTAAACACACTTATTGTATTCCAGCTCTCTATCAAGACCTAATCTTACCTATATGAAAGCTGGGTATCTGGGAAAGAGTTTAGCCCTTAAACCACAGAATTACCATCTAGGATAATTTAGTATTTTAGTGGAGCAAGAGTTAGTAGAACCACAACTAGTCTTTCTGGCCCCAGCAACCTCTTTTTTAATTATGCCGTAAATATTGAGCCTGACTGTTGTGTGAAGAATGACAACTTCTACCAAGTATCTTGTGGGGAGCAGGGTACCTGATGCACATTTCTTCCATTCTGTTTTTTGCTTCTCACTCAATCTTTCTTTTGTTTGGTCACAGATATAGACACTTGTGTTCATTTTGCACGTTTACTTTGTTACTGTTCTGTGTTTAGAGTTTTCCTTAGTTACAAACAACAGCTGGCACTTCCCCCAGCATTTAATGATTTCAGAGGGCCTCAGTCACCTTGTGCGTCCCAGAGGGAGGCATTGTACCCATTTAATGGATAGGACATAAACAAGTCAAGTGACCCACAGCAGGGTGATTCAGGAAGTGTGTTCAAGGTCAGCTGGAATCTAGTCCCAACTTCTAGGACACCGTTAGTGTATGGACCACCACTTAATCATTTACTCTTATCTCAGATAATCATTGCGGATAACATTTGTGGACATTTATTTTTTTTTTAATGTTTTATTTATTTCTGAGAGAGAGAGAGACAGCATGAGCAAGGAGGATCAGAGAGAGAGGGACACACAGAATCCGAAGCAGGCTCCAGGCTCTGAGCTAGTTGTCAGCACAGAGCCTGGTATGGGGCTCGAACCCACAAACCTGATCATGACCTGAGCCAAAGTCAGATGCTTAGCCGACTGAGCCACTCAGGCGCCCCTAGTGTCTGATTCTTGATTTTGGCTCAGGTCATGATCTCACAGTTCATGGGATCAAGCCCCGTATAGGGCCCTGTGCTGGCAGCTCAGAGCCTGCTTGGGATTCTTAATCTCTCTCTCCGTCCCCCGCCCCCACTCGTGCTCTTCACTGTTTCTCAAAATAAACACCTTTTTTAAAAAGCATATTTTAAATATATGGAAATACAGTGTTATTCAACACAAATCCTCAAATTTGTGTTGATGAAACACGGATATTCTATAAAGAACGCGGAATTGAGCACGCCAAAGGCCGCTATTAGGTAATGGTGATAATTAACGAGGACCTGCGTTTCGGAGGCTTCCCAGCCTGGGCTTATTGGCAGTTGGTTTCAAGTCAAGGTTTTATAGCTTTGTGGGTTCTATCTAGTCCAGCATTTCTTCCATTCTTCCTATTTAAGAGGGGAAGAGCAGAGTGAAGGAAGGGGGTGGGGGGGCCAGGGAAGTGTTCACTGCAGCAGTGTTGGGGGCTGTGGGCGGTGAGCTCCTCCCCCCACCCCTCCTCTCCAGGAGAAGCCAGGGCTGTGGGGGGGGGGGGGGGCTCGCTGGCCCCCTCCCTGCACCTGCTCACAGCTCCCTCGGGCTGGTGGCCTGGTATCACCCCCTGGCTCTCCTTCCAGAAGAACCACGTACCCTCTTCCTTATTCCACAGCCCAGAATGTCACTATGCGGTGGGGGATTCGGGTCCCAGGGAGGTGACACGTTCTTGGGAGCCCACTTCCCTGCATTTCAGAAAGAAAAAGTGTTCCGTATGTGTCCAGGATTTGTTGCTGCTTAAACTGAAGTGTGTTAGGACTAATGGCGCTGCCCCTGGGGGGACAAAGCCCCGGGCAAAGGCTCTTGTCAGGCTCCCGCCTCCTCCTCGGCCCCGCTCGCCAGCCGCCTTCCCCCCCCCCCCCCCCGGGTCTGCCCAGGAAACACATCGGCTTCATAATGTCAAGTACACAGTCATCTTAACAGCGAACGTCACGTGCTTGATATTCCAGACTGTTGTTCACGGGGCTCTTCTGGCCGAGGTCATCTGCCTGTGCTGTGCTCGGCTTCCAACGTCAGAAACAGCACGGTTGGCAATCTGCTCTTCGGATGTTTGGAAGAAACCACACAGCCTACCTTTGAAGCATTCGGAACTTTTCTTTTAATTAATGCGTTTGTGCTGCTGCTCCTTTAAAAGTAATTTAAACTTCAAACACTCTTTTCTTCTCGCAAACAGGTGCTGCTGTCGTGTTCCCACGTGTTTCACCGGGTGAGTGAGTCCCGCCGCGTCGCAGCGCCCGCGTCACCCCGCAGCCCTCGCTCCCTCAGCGCCTCCGGACGGAACCACTCACTGTCCGTAGTCACCGCTCAGCGTCAGACACGCGACTTGGGCCACGGTCCCGTTCATCCTGGTTGGAAACCACGACTCTTCTGTGACAGGAGAACCGCAGGCCCGCGGGGCGCACACGCCGAAGCGTCGGCTCCGCAGCCTCGCGCGCCCGCCGTTCCCTGGACGCGAGTCGTTGACGCAGGTTTCTGAGGTCGCTGCATGTTTACTCTTGTAGAGGTTCATTTCTGGAACACGTTTCGTGAGGAAGGTGTTAACATCTGACGAAACTCCTTCACTTTATAATCTAAATTGGACCGTCTCGTAATTATGAGAGAAAAGCACACTAGTTATGAGTAATTATAAAATTTTAAGTGAAATGTTTTCCTTCAGGCGTGCCTCCAGGCTTTCGAAAAATTCACAAATAAAAAAACCTGCCCGCTCTGTAGAAAGAACCAGTACCAAACCAGAGTGATTCACGACGGAGCCCGGCTCTTCAGAATCAAGTGTGCGACAAGGTAGGAAGGGCCCCCCCCCCCCCCGCCCGCCCGCGGCCCGGAGCCCCGGGGGTGACTCGTGTCTAAGGACACGGGCATTGGGCCTCTCCGCTGACCTCCCGCCCCCCCCCCCCCCCGGCCTGGCCCTGTCTGGAAACCCCCGTTGAAGCCACTCCAAACACGTGTGTTCCAGGATCCAGGCCTGCTGGAGGGGACACGTGGTTAGAAAGTGGTACCGGGAGCTGAGGAGAACCGTGCCTCCCACCGATGCCAAGCTGCGGAGAAAGTTCTTTGAAGGGAAGGTAGGTAAGGCCCTGGACTCTGCAGAGAGCGCGTGACCCGTGGGGGCAGGGGGACCGGCAGCGACGACACTCATTCGGGTGCAGGCTCCGTAAACACGGCTGAGACGCGGCTAGAAGCCCTGGCTGCCGTGAAGCTGCTTTCCCACCCGGACGGCCAACTACAGCTCTGCTTTTCTCGTTAAACCATAAAGTTCATAAAATTGGGAGAAGTTTAAATTCAAAACAACTCTTGTTTGGCCATTTCGTGACCCCTGCTTAAATAATCTCTTCGGCTGAAGGCATGGGTCAAGCCTAGTCTCTCACGCCCCCTGAACTGGGAGTTAAAACCTGGGAGGAACTTTGTAACAGTCAAGGCCCCGGGGCCGCAGGGAGTCACCAAACTGGCCAAACTGCAAGAGTTTCAGAAATAAATAACTTCAGGTTCTACCCTTTCTTTAAACTATGTTTTTATGTGTTATGTTTACTTCTTTGGTTGAACGGTTTCCCTCATGGAAGCCCATATGGAAGGGACAGGAGCGGGAGTGAGAGGGACCAGCTACCCGCCCCCTCCCAGCTCTGCCCTCAGGAGCTGCAGCTCCAGGCGAAGCCTCAGTGTCCTCGGGCGTATAGGACAGCGATCACCCGACCTTGCAGGGCCCGGACCAGCGGAGTGGTGTTGACAGAGGCCCCGCACAGCAGGCACTCGAGAACGCACACTCCGTATCATTGCTAATGTGTTGTTTGCGTTCATCTTTATGCTACCTGCTTCAGATGCAGTGATAGTGTATATTTTTTAAAGTTTAGTTTTGAGAGACAGAGAGAGGGAGAATGTGCACATGTATGAGGGGGGAGGGGCAGAGAGCAAGACAGACAGAGAGAATCCCAAGCAGACCCCACATGGTCAGCGCATAGCCTGACTCGGGGCTCAAACTCAGGAACTGTGAGGTCCTGACCTGAGCTGGCATCAGGAGTCAGACACTTAACCAGCTGAGCCAGCCAGGCACCCGATAGTCCATATTGGTTTTGCTGTATGAGACTATGGTGTTCTGACGGGACACTAGCTTTAAATCACTAAGAATTCATAGTCCCACTTTTCTGTAATCATTATCTATGGAAGTTTCCCTTACACACTTATTTAGATCTTTCCCACACTAACTTGGTTTTGTTAGCCTGCACTCCTATTTGTAAGAATGAGTGACAGAAAACTGCTCTTTGGGGTGCTCAGTCAGTTGAGCATCTGACTTTGGCTCAGGTCATGATCTCATGGCTTCTGAGTTTGCGCCCCCCGTCAGGCTCTGTGCTGACAGCTCAGAGCTTGGAACATGCTTCACATTCTGTCTCGGTCTCTTTCTCTGACCCTCCCCTGCTTACATACTCCCTCTCTCTCTCTCAAAACTAAATAAACATTTAAAAAATTAAAAAAAGAAAACAAGTAATGAAGTAAATCCAAAATGAGGAATACCCTATAAAACAGCTAGCTTGGATTATAAAATGTCAGTCAATGTCATAAAGACCAAAAAAAAAAAAAAAAAGGATGAGAAATGTTCTAGAACAAGGAAGTCTGAGAACTATAACATTTAAATGTAATTAGAGGTCTCTGGATCCTGGATCAAAACTAAAACTAAAAACAAGCACTATACTGGGATGTTTGGGAATGTGGATACGGTCAGTATTACAATAGTGCTGTGTCCGTGTTCAGTCTCCACGGTGTGTTAAGTGCACTGTCACTGACGGCTACGGAGGGGCGTGCTGAAGGGTTTAGGTGGGGGTGATGTGTGGCGATGTCTGCCGCCAACCTGTAAAGAGGTCACACACTCAGGCACAGGCACATACATACAGAAGACGGAATACACTGTAGTGAAATGTTAACAATTAAAAGCTAGGGATAAACTCTAGCAGCTGAGCTAGGATCCAGAGTTCGGAAATCCAAGGCCGTGGGCTGGGAACCAGAAGGAAAGGGAGAGTGGGCGACGGAGAGAGGGTGTACACAAAAATAGGTTTCACAACTTATACCAAAATACACCCCGCATGGAACAAAGAGTTAAACAGGAAAACAGAAACATAATGCTTTTAGAAGGAAGCATTATAAATTTATGATCTGAGAGTGGGAAAGACCTTTCTAGTAGGATTTTAAAACCACACACACAGCCCATAAAGGAACTGATTGATAACTACATATACTTATGTACAGGGAGAAAAAAATTAAGACCAATGACAAATCAGGCAAATATATTTGCAATTCAAAGGACCAGAAGCAAATTTCCTGAGTATGTGACAATCAGTTTACAGAAAAAGAACTACAGATGTCTAGTTACTATATTAAAAATGTTCAACCATGGGGCACCTTGGTGGCTCAGCTAGTTAAGCATCTGACTTCAGCTCAGGTCATGATTTCACAGTTCATAAGTTCAGGCCCTGCATGGGGCTCTGTGCTGAGAGTTCAGAGCCTGGAACCTGCTTCGGATTCGGTGTCTCCCTCTCTGCCTCTGCCCCTCCCCCACTCATGCTCTGTCTCTCTCTCTCTCTCTCGTAAATATAAACATTAAAAAAATTTTTTAAAAGATGTTCAACCTTACTCATGATTAAAGAAAACTAAAATTTTAAAAAATGAGAACCTACTAGATCAGCAAGAATTGGAAATTTTGATGATAATTACCTAGTATTGATGTCAATGAGAGGGAAATGGACATTTTTATAAGCCATTGGTGGAACTAAGAATGTACTTCTGGCTGATAGTTCTATTTGAGCCACCTAGAAATCTACCCTACAGATCTACATGTTTGCTAAGATGTTTCAGTGACTATGTTCACTGTTGCAATGATTATAAAAGAGAAAGAACCATAAACAGCCCAAGAGTCTGCCCCCAGGTACGGCCATATAGTGATTACCACACAGCAATTATAAAGGCCACAGTAGATAGGTGTGTGGGCACATAAAGAGGTTTCCAAGAAGAGGCAACAAGAAAGTATAATGAGCAGAGGAGGTAACATGATAGGGCTGGGGCACCCCGGTAGCTCACGTGGTTGAGGGTCTGAATCTCAGTTTCATGGGTCTGAGCCCCGCATCGGGCTCAGCACTGGCAGCTCAGAGCCTGCTTGGGATTCTCTGTTCCTCTCTCTCTGTCCCTCCTCCACTCACACTGTCTCTGTCTCTCTCAAAGTAAATAAACTTTAAAAAAAGTTGATAGGCCTAAAATATAACCATAATTACATGATTGAGATGAATTTCCCTATTAAATAACAAACTTGAATTACATAGAAAAAAATTTAATAGCTGCTTGTGAGAGACACATTAGAATCCACTGAAATAAAAATGCCCTATATATTGGGTGTTGTATGGAAACCAATTTGACAATAAATTATATTTTTAAAATGCCCTAGAGAAAGGCATTCTCAAAAATAAATGATGCATATGCAAAAAAAAAATAGAAAATCACAGTAAAAAAGTGAATATTAAAGTGCATTTGGCAATTCAGAATCTAAATTATACACTGTTCTTGTGTTTGTGACAATGAGCACACTAGTATTCTGTGGTGTATAACTAAAGCTGCACTTTGAGGACAATTAGTGTCATGCACATTTATTAATAAACAAGCAAGATGAAAGAGAATGAACTAACCATTCAAATGAGAAAGCTACATAAACAACACTAAAAAAATTTAAAATGCAGAAAGTAGAAAGATAAAGGAAGTAATTTATTAGGATAAAAGTAAAACTGGTAAGTGAAGCCGACAGCTGACATTTTGGGGAAAAGAAACTGAAGATGACAATCTCATCAGCATTTAAAAAACTAACAATGTCCAGTTCTCACGAGAGTTAAAACAGATAAAAGAGAAGGTAGACACACGGAACAGGAGGCCTAACCATCTATGTGGAAATCATTTTAAAATGAAAAAAGATTTGTATGCAAACTCATCTGTTAAATCTGAAAATATAATTGAAATGATCCCCTATCAAAATAGCAAACACAGAAAGAAATATCTAAAAATGACTGAGAAAAATCATATTAAAGTATCTCAATATTTACTGAAAATACTAAATTAAATAGCCATTTCTAATAATAACAGCAAACGTGAGTAAGGTGACATTTCTTTATCAAAGTAAAGACCATATATCAGAAACTAAAAACACATTTTTTAGACAGTGAAACCCTAAAGATGCAAAATCAGTTACCCACTATCATCATACTTTGGTGAATCCTTGCCAATGCAGTAATACAAGAAAACGGAATACAGTGCGCACGCGTGTGTCCAGGCATGTGCCTGCACTTGTGTGATGCATGTGTGCCCGTGCTTGTGTGTGTGCATGTGTGCATGTGTGCCATGTGTATTATATAATACATAGTACATACATTATCTCTACATGTGGATTTAAAATCTGTAAAATCATTTGAAGAATTATTAGAACTAAACTATTAGAAAATGTTCAGATTCAAAATAAATATGCAATAATTGTTTCCTATAGAGCAACAATAATCAGATATATGCGATGGAAAAGGACCCCTTGCATAATAGTTAACAATTAAAAATACACTTAGCAAGGAATGTACAAGTACTGATCAGAAGATAAATTTTTTTCTGGGGGTGATATCAGCAACACGGCCAAATAAAACGTCCCTCACTCATATCCACCCCGCACCCATCGGCAGCAACAGTCTGGCCCCAACCACAGGTAGGAGTGCCTCATGCAACCGTGGGACGGGGCACCAGAGGGTAAGTGGCCCGGAAGGAGTCTCGCCCGCCCACGTGCCTGGTAATAGCCACGCACACCTTGGTCCCAGCTGCGGACCCCGAGGTGGCCCCTGCGCCTGCTGTGAGCCCCGGAGAGCCCTGCCTCTGACAACTACCCACATACGAGACAGCCTTTGTGAAGTCCAGGCTTCCCAAGGAAAAGTTCCACGATGCCCACAGGAATGCTCCGGAGGGAGTCAGAGGAGAAGTCAGGCTTTACCCATGTCAGCCCTCCCCCAGGGAGGCACTCGCTGCCAAGAGAGATCTTCTCCCCCGTGATTTCTCCTGCAGG